ATAGTTTTGAAATTTTATTCATGGATACCTGTCAACGCCAGTCAGCGCAATAACAGTTTAACTATGTTAGTAGAAGTGTTATTAACACAGTTAAGTTGGAGTAAGTTACAAGTTAGGACAGTAACCAAGAAAACCCCTAGTGGATTCGTGGACTAGTTACAGTTTGTAGTTAACCGCTTATGCAGTAATTACATGAATGACAGGTTGTTGTTACCTAAATAGAGTTTGATATTACTAAATCCATAACAACTCTTTAAGAAATAGCTAACTTATGGTCAAACACTAACACGCTACTTTTATTTACATGAAAAACGCCTCCAATGTAGAATAGTATAGAGTCTGAAGAGTATAGAGAGATGTATAATTATACGCTGTGAGGCATTCTATCTCCGTTCTCGGAAGTGAGAACGTGTTTGATTTGTTATTCTAAGTTACGTGTGTGTCAATGGGCCGCATAAACCATTTTCCAACAGGTGGACAGTGAATTCGGTTGTCACTTAATTTTTTTTAAATAGTCCTTAAAAGTGACCACAATATGCCGTGTAATCTGCAGTATCCACTTAATATTAGCTGTACGTTTTACTTATTGGTCGTGTTAACGTCATAAAAATTAAAGGGAAGCAAACGTGAAGAGAGATAATGTAAGATTAAATATTTTCTGCCGACTTCCAAAAAGGAGACGGTACTCAATTCGACTGTATGTTTTTTTTTAATGTGTGTTACCTTATAACTTTGTACTGGGCGAACCGATTTCGATGATTCTTTTTTATATGAAAGCTGATAGTTCTCGTGTGGTCCCATATGAATTTGATCAAGGTTAGACCAATGGTTATTGAGTTATTCTTAAATAACCTATATTGAAGTCGCTTATATTGAAGTCGGCTGTACAAAATTTTTAATTTTTAATTATTTACAACCGACTTCAATATAAATTATTAAAAATAACTCAAAAACTATTGGTCAGACCTTGATCAAATTTATATGGGAGCGCATGTGAAGCACCAGCTTTCAAATAAAAAAAAAATCATCGAAATCGGTTCACCAGTAAAAAGTTATGAGGTAACACACATAAAAAAACATACAGTCGAATTGAGTACCGTCTCCTTTTTGAAGTTGTTAGAAAATGAAGAGAAGGCAAACAAGCATATGGCTTACCTGATGGTAAGTAATCACCGTCGCCTTGTAATATGTGCAAAAACAGAGGAATCGCAGGTAACGACCTTTTAAGCTCTGTGGGAGGTCGGACAACTGTAACACAGGGTATCCTAGTAAGGCCAATTATTAGTTAAGTGTTTAGTTTAATTTAACGATATAATGTGAGCCAATGATCAGAAATACAATATTTTATTACTGCTCGTATTATTGTTATTTCGCTGGAGTAGGCTCTTTTCTTCAAGATTTTTTACCTGGTAGAACCATGCTGCAGCTATATTAATAGTATAGTTGTAGCACGAATGGGTCGGCTCGACCGGGGAAGGACCACGCTCTCACAGAATACCAGCGTAAAATAACAGCTTAAAGCTGCTGTGTTTCGTACGATGAGTGTGGAGAACCGGAGACCCATTTTACTGGAAAAGAGGCATTCTATCTTAGTCCTCACGGCTGACAACGCGTCTGTATTTTAATTCGCAAACGAAGATAGATGTAGATGTCTATGGGCCACAGCAACCACTTACCATCAGGTCCACCTGTCCACTGTGTGTGCTCGTTTGTCAACCTTATTCTATAAAATAAAAATATGGTCATCCGTGGCAGAAAATTCCGTGTAAAATGCCCAGTTGGACTGTCAACTATATATAATATGGATGGAGTTTCAAGTTTTAAGCGTGCAGTAAAAACAGATGTTGAAAATTAGGTATTTATGACGATGGTGCCACATATTAGTGCCGTTGCGAATTCTAACAGCTGTTGTTCTAATCAAGCTCTATGTAGAACTTATCCTCCTCCATTTTTTTATTCATTATGGCACATTATGTTTAGCAGGTCGTAAATTGAAGAGATGATAGAGTAGAACAGATTTTTGTTTAATTCAATATAGATGACAATATACTTATTGAAAGTGATTTATGCCTTTACCACTGGTTCGAAAAAGATCTCTGCTCTGGGTACAGTCAGCAGGAAATCCAGCAGGACTATTTCATTTTAGCCAATAATTCACTATATAATATTTTGTACAGTTAAATATGAAAACATTTTGAAATATCATGGAAGCGACCACTTCATACCCAATACCCATAGGTTATTATCAATTATGTACTCTTAGTATAATGTAATAGTATAATAATCCTTATTGAACAACATCGATCAGTAATGAAAAACTAGATACACAATCAGTGACCAAAAATGTCCTTACCGAATAAGCGCCCATTCGAACCTTTTGGTGCGCTTTTCATTTGTACGTAGCTTTGTGAATACAACTTTAGACAATGCATTTAAGGTTGAATTTACATTAATAAAAATATTTCTTTCAACTAGAATTACATTATAACAATGGGCGACAGGTTTTAGAGAACTTTTGCATGAGATTGTGTATTTAGTTTTTTTTTATTAGTGATCGATGTTATTTAAAATTATAATCGTATACCTTGTCCCACGAATGAATTATTTACCCTTTATAGTCGAGTAGCTGATAAGAAGTAATAGTGTCCTCTTAAGTGATAGAGCAGCTGTTATAGCTGTAGGAAGTATGGGTGGGCTCGACCGGAGAAGGACCACGTTATAAAAGAATACCAGCAAAAAATGGCAACCTAATGCTGCTGGCTTTCATAGGTGAGTGACGAGAACCGCACAGCCTTTTTATTGGTAAGGAGGAATTGGTAGAGCCAAGCTGCAGCTATATTTATAGTATAGTACGATTTTAAATGAAGGAAATTCAGATGTCCTAGACAAGAGTTTGAAGAAATTAACGTCTCCAATAAATGACTTCATCTGGTATAAATACAATCTTATTCTATTGTCTTCAATTCACAAACAATAAAGACCGACTTGACCACTATAGATTTAGAGTTAAAAATAATTGTGGGATTATGTGGTGTTAGTTGGTGAAGTGCGGTTACATATAGTTCCTGCCGGCTAGAACTAGGTGCGGCGAGCAGCAGTTGGTTAAATTTAGGTGTACTGTTAATATTATGTATGTACGTATATATGTAGTTAGGTGTGTGTATATGTATATATGTATTTATGTATGTGTATATGTATATATTTATGAAGGATAATTGTTATATATATGGATTATTATGTATTTATTTGTATTCATATGCATTTGTGTTGTTTATAGATAAGCTTTATTTTAATATGTGTTATATCTATATAAGTATATTTAGTTACTTAAATCACCTGCCACTAATTTCTCACCACGCCATGGGTGGACTGGCAGAGAATGCTAACTGACATTAAGTCCGCCTCTTGTAAGCTTTTCATTGGTTAGAACAATGAAGTTTTTAAATAAATAAATAAATAAATTTCTAAAACTTCGGAAAAACTTATCAAGTAATATCAGCGACAGTAGGTGAAGGTGCGGTTAAGGTGGCATTTATCTAATTTATATATTAGGTATACATCAACCGCAATCGACTACAACTTGTATTAGCCGGTTACACTTAGGTGTATCGGCACTTCGGCTATTCGCCATAGTATACTGTTGGCCGCACCTAGTCCTAGCCGACTAGAACTAAGTGTAACCGCACTTCGGCTATTAGCGGTAACATTCATTAATCGTCTATATATTGCCACATATAAAAATCAGTTGAGCTAGAAATCCTTTTCGGTTTTTTTCTGTCAAGTAATTCAGGAACATGAGGCAGGAAGTTGGTGGTATTTCACCCCCATGCCTCGGAAAGCATGGAAAATCATTGACCTGCACCTGATTCCTCTCCTGTAGTGTCATATTGCCATCTCATCAGACTATGAGAGTGAGGGAATAGAGAGAGCATCTGTGGTTGGGCATACACTGAGGACTATAATTCTGTTATGCGCACATGGCTATGCATTTTGGCTGACTGCCGAAACCAAAATTCAGTCTAAAGGACAAGATTGCCACATAATATGCCCGATTGTGCCAAAAATTAGCTTTTTAATTTTTCTGTCAAGAAATTCCCATTAATTATCCGGAGTCTGGAAGTTCAGAAGAAGAAACCCGCGCCTCGGCAAGCACGTAAAGCTGTTGGTCCTGCGCCTGATCTCTCTCTGGTCGTGTCAGATAACATACCCCCAGAATACGCGGGGCAGCCTGAGCACCCACGCTCAGGAAGAGTAGGATAGCTTGGTCGTGGATGCTTAGCGAGGGATTCTACGTCACCAGGAGTCCTGGTACCGTCCTGGGGTAGGTTTTTATTTGATTTCGCTACCATGTTAAGGGGTGGGGGGAATTGGTACCACCCGGTTCGAGGCGGCCCATCCGTGCGACAGCAAAGCTGCCGCGTCGCTCTACCGCTGGTAAAACACTGCCTGCTGTGTACTAAATTCAGTTTATAGGATATTACTATTATTAAGTGGCGAAGCTTGCGAAGTCACTTATTTATTTTACGATGTCTGTCCGTCTGTCCGTCTGTCCGTCTGTCCCACGATTATTTCGAGAACGGTTTTGAATTTTCAAATTATGTTTTCAGCAATCGATTACTGATCACCCAGGCATCTGAACCTCCTATTTTGAAACTGATTGCTCAACGGCAACCGTTATAAACCGCTACAAAGCTGATTGCTTCGCCACTTTGCTATGCTGTTAGCTTGCTAGGTTTATTATTGTGTGTAAACTGTTAGCGAAATTTAATAAAACCCCTAAATAAATAGGGGTTTTATTAAATTTCTCTTAAATAATAACCTTAAGTCACTCTTGTTAAATTGCGCGAATTAGCGAAGTCCCCACTCTCAGTGTTTATTTTACGAATAATAATAGAAGCACGAATGCGATGCGTACCGTCGGACGATCGTTCAGGCTTTCATAATAATTGCTCGGTGCGGACAAGCGGACTGAACGTCTGTGTTATGTGACATCATCCGCAATGATCAGTTTTACAGTTGGTATATTTTATTTTATAGTGCTATTAAATCAAATTAAAGGAGACAGTGAAAAGGCTGGTGAGTATACGTTATATCTATATAAATAAAATGATAGAGGTATGCAGTTGTGTGCACATCACGGAAAAACTACTGGATAGATTTCAATTAGGATTTCTAAGTTTTATTTCTTTGACACTTTTCCCTTATCTAAAAAAAAAATATTGCGATATCTTCATTTAATATAAAGTTATTAAAGTTTTAAGAAACAACGAGTTTTACAAAAACTACGTGTTCAGTGATGTGTATTTTATTGATGTATCGTATGTAATTATTGTATGTAACGCGGACTCGTAAGTATCAGCTAGTTTTTTAATATTTTTCAAATCAAAGATAGTTTTCTGCCCAGCGCACTAATACCAATTAAGAACGAAGCGACCCGAACTAAAGAGAAGACAATTTAGTTTTTTTAAACACGTTTATAATATAAAATAATATCTATGGTTATGGTGTAAAATAAAGTTTGAAGTGGTTTAAAGTTAAGCGATCTTAAAGATATTTTCAAATTTATATTGAAATGTGCCAACTTTATGTCAAAGGCTTATTATAGTAAATCAATTAGAACTATTCGGGAAAAATGTAGCTATAAAGGAAGATAATGAATATCTTATATTGTATCGAATAGTGTATCTTCATAATCAATATTATTACATAATACTTATTGAAAGTCATTTTTTTATTTACCACTGGTTCGGAAAATACCTCTGTCCTGGGAAGAACCAGCACGAAACCCAGCGGGACTTTTTTTTAAACATAATTTCAGTTAACAATAAATTTGTTTATACAATTTTAAATGAATTTTCATAGAACCAGCATAGTGGCGATCACCTTATTCCCAGGGTTATTTTCATTCATGTATTCCTTGATATTATAATAATCCTTTTTGTACAGTTTTTCTTTAATAAAACTTTTATACTTGTTTATTGACAAACTTTGAACGTGTTCTGGGATTTTGTTGTAAAAGCGTATACATTGCCCCATAAATGAATTACTAATTCTGTGAAGTCTAGTAACTGGCATTACAAGCTTATGTTTGTTCCTAGTGTTTAAGGTATGAACATCCTTATTCTTATTAAAGCTATTTATGTTTTTATGTACATACATTACATTTTCATAAAATATTGCGATGCCAAAGTTAATATGTTTATTTCTTTAAAAAAATTCTCTGAGGGACTCTTTACAATTTAGATTATAAATCACTCGTACGGCTCTCTTTTGCAAAACAAATATAGCTTCAATATCAGTCGCATTACCCCATAGCAAAATTCCATAAGACATTACGCTATGAAAGTAACTAAAATACACTAACCTAGCTGTCCCAACATCTGTGAGTTTTCTAATCTTTCTTACAGCTTATGCTGCAGAACTAAGTCTGCTTGCTAATTTAGATATATGGGAGACCCATTGAAGTTTCGCGCCAATAGTAATACCAAGAAAAACAGCGGTATCCACAAGACTCGACTCCTCCCGATTTAATCAATATTATATTAATATTAATTTAATCAATAGAATAAGGCATTACTTTGCGGAAATACATTATATTAGTGTTAAAAATAATTACCTTAGGTCCGCGTAATCAAGTAAAATGATAATTGAAGAGCACCTCACACCCTCCCTCAACTGCGTGCACTATCCCCGTCAGCACTAATCCCAGCACCACTACTCCCACCACCACGAGAAAAGACACACCACCGTCGATAGTATGACACGTGTTTCGCCTCTAACAGAGGCATCCTCAGGTGAAGTCTACTTAAAACTGGGTAGGACACATCATTTTATTTTCTTTCGAGGAACTTACCCGATACATTTTTAACATCTTTAATGTATCTACACATCAAAGATTATTAAACACAAAACCAACGCGTTAAGAATGTATCACATTTTTCCAATGTACAATAACATTTTATCGGATAAACATCGCACTCCCAACACTACCCAACCTACCCATCCAAGAGTGTGTTTGTACATCAGTAAAAGGCACTATAATATTTTTCCTGTTATTTTTTTTTCATAAAACTAAAGAGACAAACGAACTTACGGGCTGTAAGTTCCTGATTGATAATAAGTGGCAGGCCATTAAGATATGCAGCCAACAAATAAACGAAGATGGTTGAAGATACGTTGTCATATCTGAGGACTAATATGGAATGCCTTACAGCCTGTAATTATACCGCCTCTTTATATAGTCTGTTCGCTTAGATACGCTCGCCTTTGCGTCGCGCCGCCTTGGCGCGTGCCGCATTTTTTCAAAGGCGCCGCCGCGACATCAAAGGTCTCCACGGGCGGTGTGAACCCGAGAATTTGGTATTTTAAAACTAAGCTCCGTAATGAAAGGTTTTTTGTTACGGTTTTTTTATTATTTATATTCGTATCTTATTACAACAACCATAAGAATAAAATAGATTTCTATTATATTATTAGAAAACAAAAACATTTATTTAACAAACAGTAAAAAATAACAAGTGCGCCTCCGGGTGTACCGACACTATCTTAGCGAACAGACTGTACCTTAACGACCGGAATACAGCAGTACAAGCATTGCTATTTGCCGGCAGAAATAAGTGAGAAGTTGATACGACCCATGTGAATTCCGATGCAGAAAGAATCTTACCACCTGGTATAATTCAGTTGGAAAATTCCGACATTATACTGATGATATGGGGTAGTGCATATTCTTACACTGCCATTATACGGATAAGCGGTAACACTACATTAAAATATACGAAAGAACGTTTCTTGCTTTGACAATTTAACACCGCGAGTAATTCAATACTGAAAACAGTATCTAGTACTTTAAAAACAATTGAAGTGTTTTTAATAATATTTTGTCCAACATGATCTTTAACATGGGCCATGGTGCTAAGGCTTGCGTGTTAGATAAAAAATTGAAAGTATGTTATAGTTGTCCAACTAACCAATATTTCGTGTCTTTAATGAGTATTTTCACTAACGCAATTAAATTAAATTTGGAAATCCACAAATCCATACAAAATAAAACAGATTTTTACCAAGGAATTAGAAAAAATCTGAACTCAACATAATACGTCGAGACAAGTCCGTGTTTTTCAGTCCAAAATAGTCAGCACTCAAACCACATCAGTACCCCAAGAGAAGAATTCGTAATGTGGGGACTTTTTTAAACTGAAATGACAAAAGAACCTTCAGTCCACCTGATAGGTGGCTACTTCAGTCCGTGGACACCTGCAGCCAAGTTCAAGGAAGACAACAGGCGCGTTATCATACTTGAGGACTAAGATGGAACGCCCCACAGCCTGTTATTACACCGGAATTTAGACCGAATTAGACTGAGATATAGTATCTAGAAGAAGGAAAGCCTCGACAAAAATATTTATTGTCATTCTTTTATGATCGATAACGTCCATGTCACACCTATGCCGGTAGTTGTTGGGAGCACTAAGCTCTAAGTTGTTGACGAGTATGTTTACCTGGGAGAAATAGTCTGACTAGGTTAGTCCAACTTCGACCGAGCGGTCAATCGACGGATTCAACTCGGCTGGGCAGCGTTTGAGAAATTACGACACATGTTCTCGTCAGGTCTACCTCAACACTTGAAAACAAGACTGTACAACCAGTGCTTATATATATATATATATATATATATATATATATATATATATATATATATATAATAGTTTATTTTTAATCCTTTTCAAGGGAATAGGGAATAACAGAAGCTGGGTTCTAGCTAGCAAGGTAGGCAACTGGAAAATCATCTAAACAGTTATATTAAAGACTTCATCCCTTATTTTTCCACCTTCATAAATGAAATTTTCCAAGGTTTATCAGACCAGGCCTTAAAGTATAATCTGTTTATTAAAAAAAATATTTGTGCAGTTCACACGCAATAGAAATGAAACCTTCAGAAAAAGAGAACGATAATAGGAAACACTTTACCATGTTTTCTATCTCATTCTCTCGCAGGCTAAATCCTATAGATGTATACATCTGTCTCTTTTTAGTGTCGCATTTTCGTTTCACAGAGTTTCAAATCACAATGATTCTATTATAAGTTTTCACTTCAAAAAGTATTATTAAAATCGGTTAACAATTGACAGAGATGTCGGCGTAACATACAAAAAATAACATACAGTCAAATAGAGAAGTTGCATAAATTTTTTGCATCAAATTTATATATAAATGAAAGAATAATTAATTGAAAGTATATTTAAATATTTCTATTATTGGTAGAAACAGAAACAGGAACAGAAACTTTTTTATTCAATATAGATTATAAATAATACTTATTGTAAATCACTCTTTTGTTTAATTACCACTGGTTCGAAAAAAAAAACTCTGTCCTGGGAAGAACCAGCAAGAAACTCAGCGGGACTTTTTTTTAAAATAACAGCTTACAATTATGTATGTTATAGAATTAACAACACAAACAATGAGAAATAGCTTGGTAGCGATCACCTTATTTCCAGGGGTTATTATCATTCATAAATTCCTTAATATTATAATAACCATTTTTATGGCATATTTTCTGGAATTTTGTTGTAAAAGCGTATACATCGCCCCAAGACTGAACTACTGACTCCATGGAGTCGAGTAACTGGTACTACTAGCTTGTGTCTGTTCCTAGTATTTACAGAATGAATATCCCTTATTTTTGTAAAACTACTTTTATTTTTGTGTACGTATATTACATTTTAATAAATGTATTGAGAGGCCAAAGTTGATATATTAATTTCCTTAAATTTTTGTCGCAGCGACTCTTTAGGCTTTAAATCATAAATTGCTCTTATGGCCCTCTTCTGTAAAATAAATATAATTTCAGTGTCAGCTGCGTGTCCCCATAGCTAAATACCATACGACATTATGCTATAGAAATAGCTAAAGTAAACTAGTCTAGCTGTTTCAACACTGGTAAGATTTCTAATCTTTTTTACGGCATATGCTGCAGAACTAAGTCTGCTTGCTAGTTTTGATATATGGGGGCTCCATTGAAGCTTCGCGTCTAGTGTGATTCCAAGAAAAATGGTGGTATCTACAAGACTCAGGTTCTCCCCATTTAAAATTACATTAGTATTTAATTGTATGACATTTGGAGTCATGAATTTCATACATTTCGTTTTAGTGCCATTTACTTCGTCATATTTTAATAATTGACGTCTTAATTTGAAAATTAAAGAAGTGTCATCAGCAAATAATACTATATCATGGTAGTGACAGTCATTATATCTGAGGCTCATATCGCAATCATGCTATACTTTTGTATTTTCTATATTCAGATCACCATGTGTCATAACACAATATAAGTAACCTGTATTATGCAATGACAATTTTCTTTTTCATTTTGACAACGTTAATATGAGTGTTTAATTAATTCACCATGCGGTGGCGTCACTAAAGCGACATAATGACGTCACTGGCGTTTGAATATACGTTTTAGAATAACCATTTTTAATTGTAAAATTACATGAAAAATCAATTGTTATTTTTTTTATTCCTCTTTATAATTTGCAGTAAACTTTTAAAAAATTGAATAAAAAAAACATGCAACTTCTCTATTTAGAATCTCCGTCGGTTAAAAAAAAGCTCTTTGGATACAGTTTTTTATCATGTTCGTGGTCGTACAGACATTAACCATTAGAATAGAATAATTTTTATTCTGTATAGATTACATGAATGCTTATTGAAAGTCATTTATGCATTTACTATAACTGGGTGCATTTACATACATTGACTAGGTACTTGTTGACAATTGTTCTCAATGTTGATGAGAGAGCATTTTGTCATTGAAATCCAATTTAATAATCATGCATATGATATTCTTTTTTACCGACTTCAAACAGGAGGAGGTATTCAATTCGACTGTATGTTTTTTATGTGTGTTACCTCATAACTTTTTTCCGGGTAAACCGATTTCAATTATCCTATTTTTATGTGGAATATGTGGAACTCTTCCATTGTAGAAAGGACACAGATTTTTTTATAGTAAAAGGGTGACAAGCGAACACACAACCCAGCTGATGGTAAGTGTATACTGTTGCCCATATACACCTACATCTATGCTCGATTAAGAATCCAAATGCAGATGCGTTGTCACCCCTGAAGACTATGATTCAATATCTCGTTTCCAGTAAAAAGGGTCTCCGGTTCTCCACACTCACCATACGAAACGCAGCAGCATTGAGCTGCTGTGTCTCCCGGTCGAGCCGACCCATTCGTGCTACAACCATAATACAGCTGCAGCATGTCTCTACCGCGTACCACTGAGTGGTTTGTTTTCAGGTGTGGCCACATTTTGTTACTTTATTCAGAGAGTATCTACAATGTTTATGAATGTCAGATCACATTGAAAAGTCAAATTAACCTTCCCCAATAACACATCATTCAGAATGAATCAAAAACCTTAAATTAAAGCAGGCAACATCAAAATGATTTAAACGCAAGCCATAAATTCGTTGTTATTGAAAAAGCATTTGCTATCAAATGATAAATCTGTGCTAAAAATTAACGCTCGAATTGTCACAAATTAAGTATTCTTCAGTTATGACAAATTAAAAAAAATATTTGATTAATTTATGAAATACCTCAAATACATATAAAACATACATTTACATATGCTGTAAATATAAAACTTACAATATCAAAACTAATGTTTTTGATATTGTTGATATAGAGTTAGGTGTACTGGAAGTTACCACCAGCTGTTTATGGAAGAGGAAGCAAACGGGCATATGTTTTAAATATGATATAACTAAAAACAGCACTGTATTTAATTTAAATAATGAAAAATGTAACTCAAACTCCGCGCCAAATCGATAATAGTTGTGCCAATCTAACAAAAAATATATTGAATTTGGAACCATACACAAATCATCCATCCCGATACTTTTTTGACTGCTTGTATACGAAACACAGCAGCACTAAGCTGCTATTTTACGCTGATATTCACAATGTAATTATGCTTGCGCAGTAATAGAATAACCTATTTACCTCGTATTTACACATTTTAGTTTAAATAACTTAAGTAAGCAATTGCTATGTAATTACTCAATTCGTTATTCTTTTTTTTATTTTGACATATTTTCTTTATTTTTATATTTTCTTTTACCAGTTATTTAGTTACTGCTCTCAGTTCTTTTATGGTCTTTATTCGGTAGTTTGTGTATTAAACAGCAATTAATTGCGCGGTTATACTATTTAATTGTGTTTCATTAATGACGAAAGCTACTAGTGTAATTGCTTTCTGTCTTAAATAAATAGTAACCAATGAACATTAAATTTATCCAACATTAAATCAATTTACAATTAATTTATACATGTTTTTTTTCATACTTCACATTAATTTTTTAAAGCTTGATCAAAATTAATGAACAGTTCGTGGTGCGAGTGAGGCCTGATCAAAAATTCCCCGCCAATAAATATTTATGACGGGACAAACGAGCCATTTTCATACTCCACAGGGCATCCCTTTATCGGTGCTAATATTAAATTTTCTACTCGGGCAGATCATTACAGCGATTTACAAATATTTTATACTTTTATGTTTACAGAACGCAGTTATTAACTGCGAATGAATTTTAACTGCCAGTTAAAATTGATCATTACGTGTTTCACAAATTGTTCACTTCGCAATTAACTGAAAATGTTCTGATTTACTATTTGCTCAGCGCTAGGGGAAAAATTGTTTGGAATATTGAACGTCTAATAAATTAATATTAATTTTTCGATTACGTGCTTAAGTACATTTGCTGTACGCTCACTCTAGAAATTGACCTTTTCTTCAAACCGTCTTTTTTATATATTTTTTTATAGGATAAGGGTGACAAACGAACACACAGTCCACCTGATGGTAAGTGGTTGCTGTGGCCCATAGACATCTACATCTATCCTCGATTACGAATCAAAATGCAGATGCGTTGTCACCCGTGAGTACTAAGATGGAATGCCTCTTTTCCAATAAAAAGGATCTCCGGTTCTTTACACTCACCACACGAAACATAGCAGCGTTAAGCATGGCTTTACCACGTATACCGTCTCAGAAGTGAGAAGCCTGTGCCCAAATAAAAGGCATAATGTGTAGGTTTTCGTCTTATGAGCAAAAATTTAATTCTATAAATATTTGATATGTATATTTTTCATGTATGTATGTTTACTAATTTCACAGCGGAATCAGCTGAAACGATTTAAATTATTCTTTTTGGAACGAAGTTCCTTATCGAACAGTACGGGTTTGGCGGATGCAAGCTAGGCGACAAAAAGTGTAAAATTTTTTCGTCACTACCCCTTGCGTCATAGTGTATTTTATTTTAAGTGACGCTTCATTTTAATAGACGCTAGTAATACATTTATTTGTATTTGTTAATCAATAATATAATACGTTTATCAATAATAAGAAACTTCGTTCCAACCGAGTGTTCCACGACACTCACGCATGTTTTTTTTTTTAACTAAATAGGTAACAAAGAGTCAAAAGTGCGCCGCTTTATCGACGCCATTTTGAGAGTTGAGTATATAGTAAAAAAAATTGTCGATTTTAGTATAGTAGTGTACTTAGTTTTTTATAAGTTGAGTTTTCGAAGTGTTCCTAATAATTTGCAAAGCTTGTATGCTATTTTTTTCTTAATACATTAGTTATGGTATACGACTCTGTGTTTTTTATCTCTATCCTCTTCTTAGTTTTGGTTTTATGGGGCGGCAAAGCTTAAGATGACTTCAAAAACTAAAAATAATATAATAATTTACACATCAGCTTCTACTGTCGGGCATCAACTTAAAAAAATCTACAGAAGCTATTATGTAGAAATTATTCTTTTTCCAGGTCTTGCGGACAATTGTACACCTATATTTTTTCCTCGCTTAAGAATCAAATCGTAAAGGCGTTGTCCTCCTGAGTACTAAGACAAAATGCCTCGTCAGCAGTGAAAAACGTGTCCACTTCTCGTGGCTCACTATACGAAGCAGCATTATACTGCTTTTTTATGCTGGTATATATAAATTACATATAGGACACCTTTATAATATTTCATTGCTCATTTCAGATCGGTTCATAATCGCTTGTCATACAACGGACTTCGAATGCTTCAAACGGCAGTATCGGTCTCTCAGAGACACCGTGCTGTTAGGCAGCTTACATTTTGCAATAGATTACTACAAGCCGTACTTGTTCAAATATGGTGACAGTGGAACTTGTATCAAGCTTACGGGATTGGAAGAGAGCGAGCTGGTTGGGATCAGGTACTAACGAAAAATTTAAATATTCGGTTTTTAATATAGACTAGTGTAATGTTAACAAAAAAGCCCACAGTCCTACATCTATCTTCTATCTTCTATAACATAATAAACTATCTATATACTTGTATATTTAACTATACTCTATTTATTTATATATGTAAGTCTATTTATTATTCACAAACACATATGCATAAATTTCATCATTCTACTCAATAATGTGCATCCTAAATGCGAATATTAAAAAGTAAAATGTAGTACCTACCGTTGTAAAATATTCAAGTGTAGTCTCTGTTTGCTAAGTGCGACTTTCCTGTTTTACCTTTCTTATTATTTTTGCTTTTTTAATTAGAATATAAATCAATTCATTTTTATTGTTTAATTGCGAAGGAAATCATTTATTTTAGCTTCATCTATCTTTTTAGTCCACTGATATCTACAGGTGAGGACCTGGTGACCTAAGATACAGATTTTTCCTAGTTTAGGCACCAGTTTTTCACGTAACAATAGTATTTTTTCAGATATAAGCACATATTTTTTATTGTTTTCTGAATGTATGTTGTTGGTGGAAAAATAAATAAATAAAAATAAATCTATATATGGTAGGTTAATTACCAAAATTATGATTCGTTCTCGATCTCTAATAACTTCTATGGGATACGTTTTCAAATTTATATCATTATTTTTGTACGTGGTAGAGCCATGCTGCAGCTATATTAATAGTATAGTTGTAGCACGAATGGGTCGGTTCGACCTGGGAAGGACCACGCTCTCACATAATACCAGTGCAAATTAGCAGCTTAACACCGCTGTGTTTCGTATGGCGAGTGTAGAGAACCGGAGACCCTTTTTACTGGAAAATAGGCATACCATCTTAGTCACGGGTGACAACGCATCTGCATTTTGATTCGTAATCGAGGATAGATGTAGATGTCTATGGTCCATAAATCTATATATGGTAGGTTAATTACCAAAATTATGATTCGTTCTCGATCTCTAATAACTTCTATGGGATACGTTTTCAAATTTATATCATTATTTTTGTACGTGGTAGAGCCATGCTGCAGCTATATTAATAGTATAGTTGTAGCACGAATGGGTCGGTTCGACCTGGGAAGGACCACGCTCTCACATAATACCAGTGCAAACTAGCAGCTTAACACCGCTGTGTTTCGTATGGCGAGTGTAGAGAACCGGAGACCCTTTTTACTGGAAAATAGGCATACCATCTTAGTCACGGGTGACAACGCATCTGCATTTTGATTCGTAATCGAGGATAGATGTAGATGTCTATGGTCCATAAATCTATATATGGTAGGTTAATTACCAAAATTATGATTCGTTCTCGATCTCTAATAACTTCTATGGGATACGTTTTCAAATTTATATCATAATTTTTGTACGTGGTAGAGCCATGCTGCAGCTATATTAATAGTATAGTTGTAGCACGAATGGGTCGGTTCGACCTGGGAAGGACCACGCTCTCACATAATACCAGTGCAAACTAGCAGCTTAACACCGCTGTGTTTCGTATGGCGAGTGTAGAGAACCGGAGACCCTTTTTACTGGAAAATAGGCATACCATCTTAGTCACGGGTGACAACGCATCTGCATTTTGATTCGTAATCGAGGATAGATGTAGATGTCTATGGTCCACATCAACCACTTTCCATCAGGTGGACTGTGTGCTCGTTTGTCACCCTAATCCTATAAAAAATATACACCAAAAAGTTTAAACACTAGATACTGTTGACCGTATGATTTATCACGACTGGTTAAAAAGCACGTTTCCGCAGAATACATCATCATCATCTTCATCATTACAGCCCTTCACAAGTCCACTGCTGAAGATAGGCCACCCCCAAAGAATGCCACAAAGCACGGTACTGAGCCACCTGCATCCATCGACTTCCTGCATATCTTACCAGGTCGTCACTCCATCTAGTGGGGGGACGCCCTACACTTCGTCTGCCGGTACGAGGCTGTCACTCGAGAACCTTTCTTCCCCATCGGTTGTCGGTTCTTCGAGCTATATGGCCGGCCCACTGCCACTTCAGCTTACTAATCCGTTGGGCTATGTCGGTCACTCTGGTTCTACTGCGGATATCCTCATTTCTGAGTTTATTACGCAGAGAAACTCCGAGCATAGCCCTCTCCATAGCTCGCTGAGCGACATTGAGCTTCCTTATGCGGCCAGCAGTGAAGGACCACGTCTCAGTTCCGTATGTCATCACTGGCAACACGCACTGGGTGTACAGTCTCGTTTTCAAGTTTTGAGGTATACCTGACGAGAAGATGTGCCGTAATTTCCCGAACGCTGCCCAACCGAGTTGAATCCGTCGATTGACCTATCGGTCGAAGTTGGACTTACCTAGTCGGACTATTTGTCCCAGGTAAACATACTCGTCAACAACTTCGAGCTTAGTGTTCCCAACAACTACCGGCATAGGTGTGAGATGGACATTAAACATGATCTTTGTTTCGTCCATGTTCATCTTAAGACCTATCCGTTGGGAAACACTATTGAGGTTATTGAGCATAGTGCTTAGGTCCTCCAGCGATTCTGCCATAAGGACTATATCGTCGGCAAATCGAAGGTGAGTGATGTACTCGCCATTGATGTTGATACCGTATCCTTTCCAGTCCAGAAGCTTGAAAACATCTTCCAATGCAGCGGTAAAGAGTTTCGGGGATATGATGTCACCCTGTCTTACACCTCTCTGCAATTGGATTTCGTACTCTGGTTCTGTACTCGGATAGCCATCGTAGCCCTACTGTACAAGCACTTCAACACTTCGATATACCGACAGTCAACTTGGCACCGCTGAAGAGACTGCAGCACCGCCCAAATTTCGACGAAATCAAAGGCTTTCTCATAGTCCACATACGCCAGACATAGTGGCAAATTGTACTCCTCGGACTTCTGTACAATTTGCCGAAGGGTATGTATGTGGTCTATGGTGCTAAAGCCTTTTCGGAAACCGGCTTGTTCGGGAGGCTGGAAGTCGTCAAGTCTGCACGCGAGACGATTCGTAATGACTCTCGAAAACAGCACGTAGACGCGGCTCAGAAGAGAAATTGGTCTGTAGTTCTTCAAGAGAGCGTTGTCGCCTTTCTTGAAGAACAAGACCACCGCACTTCTGCTCCACGCCTCCGGTGTAATGCCACCATGGTGGACGGAATTAAAGAGCTTCTGAAGGACTTCAAGTACCGGTTTTCCACCCGCTTTCAGAAGCTCCGCTGTAATTCCATCCTCGCCTGGGGCCTTGCCGTTTTTAAGGTGCTGGAGAGCCATTCTAATCTCGCTCAGACTGACGTCCGGGATATCATCGGAATAATGTCGGATAAGACTCGCTCTTGGATCGTTACTCACACTTGCTTGCGGCTCCAACGATGACGTGTACAGCTGCCCATAGAACCTCTCAATCTCACTCAAAATCTCAGGTGCCCCGGAAACGATGCTGCCACATTCGGTCATCAGCTTTGACAGTTGGCTCTTTCTGGCAGACAGATCTCTGGCAAAGACTTTGAAGCCTTGGTTCCGCTCGATCGCTTCTTCAATACGAGCTGTATTGAAGTTGCGTAAGTCCCGCCGCATGCATTTGGAGATCTGTCTGTTCAGTTGCCTGTATGCTGTCAAATCTGTTGAAGAATGTAGCTTCATCTCCCGTCTAACAGCCATGAGATTAAGAGTGTGATCGGAGAGTTTTTATGTTCTTCTGCGGCGGGTCTTGCAGAACTTAGCTCCGACCGCTTGGACAGTTTCCACGAGCTTATCATTCAAATCGTCCACTTCATTACAGTCTTCTAGGCACTGAAAACGGTTTTGTAACTCGAGCTGAAAGATTTCGGGACTTTGGATTAGAGCACGAGGGGGACGGAGCGTTGACTTCATTAGACGAGACCTCTCCAACTTAACGTTTAGGTTCAATGTGCCTCTAACCTTTCGGTGATCCCTGTCGGTTTTCACCCTCGCGATCACTGAGACATCATTGAACAGTTGTCGTCTGGTCGTCATAATGAAGTCAATCTCATTTTTTGTCGAACCGTCGGGGCTCGACCAGGTCCACTTCCTGTGGGGCCGCTTCTGGAAGAAAGAGTTCATCATAAAGAGTCCCTCTTTCTCCATGAAGTCGGCTAGCTGCTGACCCCTTGGGTTCCGTTGCCCTATTCCAAATTTCCCCACCTTCAGCTCACCGTTCTCTCTTTTGCCTAGTTTTGCATTGAAGGCTCCCATTAACACCGTATATTGGGTTTTGGAGGAATGCATGGCTCTAGAGATATCCTCATACATTTCCTCCACCTCCTCATCGGGGTGTGCCGAGGTTGGTGAGTAAACCTGTATGACCTTCAGCGAATACCGTTTGGTGATTCTGAGTATAAGGTACGCAATCTTCGTCGACACACTCTCAATCTTTACAACGTTGTTAACGAGAGACTTGTGGACGATAAATCCGACACCTCCTTGGGACAGATGGTCGCCCTCCCGGTAATAGAGCAAGTTGCCGGATTCGAGGATTACCGTGTCCTCCCCCTCTCTTCGGACTTCGGATAATCCTATAATATGCCAGCGTAACTTGTCTATCTCTCCTTCCAGCTCCACAATCTTCTCGTCAGTCCTCAGTGTGCGTGCGTTGTATGTTGCCAGGTCGAGTCATAGTACAGGAATACATGAGTGAAGAGAATCTATAGTTAGTATTTAGGGGAGAAAACCTTTGGTTTTAGAGCAGTTTCTGGGTCTCGTCAAGTGTTAGCATTACAGTGTTCATGTAATTTCTCAGACGTGGCAAAGTTTTTTTGTACAGTTTCCAGAAAGATGCATTTTGTTGGTGATGTTTACTGACCTGATACAAGCATAAAACAGGAGCATAATGCTATTACGTTTCGTATGGTGAGTGACGAAAACCGGAAACCATTTTTCTGGTAACGAGGCAGGCCATCTTAGTGCTTTGAGGTGACAACAAATTTATATTTTGGTTCTTATACGCATATGGATGTAGATGCCTATTGGCTATGGATCACAGCATCGTTTGTCTTTCTTACTTCATTAATTAAAAATAAAAAAATAATAATAAAGGAAATTAAGTAATTATTCTTTTTATCTATGATATCCGTGATAATTAGGTTTTTATTAATTTTTCTCTGCTCATGTACTGCATCTTAAATGATTTACAAATATAACTCTTACAGCATGGACGGCGACAGCAAGGAGTACCTCCTGACCTTAGAACTGCCTTTCCGTATCCAGCAAGTGAACAATAAGACCGATATTTGCATGAAGCCTGATGTTGGTAAGTAAACGTCTATCTCTGATTGTTAATCCAATGTAGGTCACTACCAAAGTCTTTAAAACATTTACGAGTTCATTCCTAGAGGGTCTTTAGATTCCGCTACTCATAGTTTCTTTTTTTTCTTTAGTTATTGACTAAGAACCGTGGTAATTGGCGCACGCTGTAAATTTTATAGTATGCGACCAAACCCATTTTCAGCCGACTTCAAAAAGGAGACGGTACTCAATTCGACTGTATGTTTTTTTTATGTGTGTAACCTTATAACTTTTTACTGAGTGAACCGATTTCGATGATTCTTTTTTATTTGAAAGCTGCTACTTCAAATATTTATTAATTGCAATTTCAAGTGCTCATTTACCACGTGCTTGGTGGTGGAGGAAAACTTTGTGAGTAAAAAATGTCTGAGAAATTTAAAAAAAATTCGAAGACGTGAAGTCCGCGGACACGCACTGGGACAGTGCGGCAACCGTTTACTTGCCCTAAACCCTCCCATTAAAAAGGCCTGAGTCCAGTTGTGGGATACAATAGCCTATAACTTTACTTTATGGACTCCTATGATCAGTACTTTTGATAATGTTCAGTAATTGAAAAGTGTCCTTCAAATAATTGATTTAAAAAAAAATAAAGTATGATTATACGTCATTTAACTCAAAATACGGACAAATTATGGAGATTTAGACGCTTAATTCAGCAAGCAGTCGGTGCCTGTGTTATTTCAAGACGTTGAATCAGACAAAATAACTTAAGGTGACAAGCAAACAAAGACCCAACTGCAGAGAGGTGTAAGGCAGGGTGACGTTATATCCCCGAAACTCTTCGCCGCTGCATTGGAAGACGTTTTCAAGCTACTGGACTGGAAAAGTTACGGTATTAACATCAATGGCGAATATATCACTCACCTTCGATTTGCCGACGATATAGTCCTTATGGCAGAATCGCTGGGGGACCTAAGCACTATGCTCAATGACCTCAATAATGCATCACAACGGATAGGTCTTAAGATGAACATGAACAAAACAAAGATCATGTGTAACCCTAAATGGATGTTAAATATTGTGTAAATATCATCAATGCCTCGTTTCCAGTAAAAGGGGTTTCCAGTTCTCTACACTCACCATACGAAATACGACTGCATTAAGTTGCTATTTTATGTGTTTGAGAGCGTTATTGTGACATAACTGTAATAGTAAAACATATTATATCACAAATCTTTTTGTAGATATTGATGTCCTCTATAAAACTGTAGTACATCACTTTGCTCTGTTGTCAATAGTTTCCGCAGCGTACACGATATAAGGATTATTTTTGGTCTTTTTTTCACACCTTGGATTACAATAACGAAGTTTTAATGCGGACTCCTAATTTTTTGAAAATATTCTATAGCCTGTGTTCATTAGGGATAATGTAAGATTGTAATGGTGAAAGAAATTTTCAAATCGGTTCAGTAGTTTCGGAGCCTATTCAATTATAACAAACAAACAAATCTTTTCTCTTTCTAATATTATTAGTGTAGAAGACTTATTTTATATATCTGATTTATTTATCTGATTTATACTTGCATCAACCACAATATATCTGCAACATGTAAACCTTATCTAGTTAACACTTTCGACAGAGCAATGAAATTAATGAGAAGTATTTAGGTCGTAATTACTTCTATTTTTAAAAAGTAAGGTTGTAATTATCTTCTATTACGTCCTCCCTCTCAATTACCCGAAATACAACTTTTAATTGTTATATCGCATGCTTGCGTGATCTACTACCGACCGGCTACCACTTTTAGTTAATAAAAACATAAAATCACCCGGTTAAACTAAGTCACAATTATCATTAATTGCGCCAACGATACCTTAAATTCAAGTATACACGAACATATAACAATGTAAGTCTACTTACTGACCCGCTCGATTCGCTGGACGCACGATAATATTTTAATGCGGAACCTATTACATTTTTTAGGTCGGACTATCGTAAAATCCCTTCTTAGTGAGCATTTACATTGCAAAATCAGTAACTATACGAAATTTCAAGCCTATCGGGCGTATAGTTTTAGAGATCGTGATGAGTCAGTCAGTCAGTGGTATTTCGTATGTAGTGGTATTATATAATATAGAGAGAAATTGTATCACATAATGGGTAGTGCCAGCATCTTTCTGATAAAAACTCAAAATAATAAACCAAAACGGTAAGAGTGGCAACTATGGCAAAATCAGATGATGAGACAATCAATCAGACGATGAGAAAATCAAAAAGAATTTCTGTCACAGCGCCCAGCCTCAACGGAGACTAGCCACCTGCGCAGGACAGGATTATAATCCTATCGCCTGTGCTTGCGCATACACTCGGACACTATAGTGTGAGAGTGTGATGCTGTCCCGGTCAAACCGACCACACTCGTGCTACAACCATAATATAACTGTGGAGTAGCTCTTCCACGTCATATAATACATCCTATAAAAAGTCTACTGAACTTTAATAGAAATATGCCAAAGTTGCTAAACTTGGCACGCAGCTTAGAAAACGCAGGTTTGGTTATTTGAGTTGTAATCAGGAAGATGCTGCTGCCACAGATGCACACACACGACTAATGTATTAGAAATTTAACACGACCAAATATTCGCAACTTGAAGGCGATACCGTAATATTTTATGAATGGTCGGCTTTATAATCTAAAGGGTCTCTTTTACGTGTTTGTATCATGTAAGTTTGGGTCTGCTCGCAATATTTTTTTCACTGCCTCGATATTTTTGCCCGTTACTATGATCGTAGTTAGTTACGGCCATTTCTTTTTTGTACATCAAGGATAACATTCATTAGTTTAATATTAAAAAAAACCGGTAAAGTGCGAGTCGGACTCGCGCACCGAGGGTTCCGAACAAATCTGTAGGTATATAAGTTTAAAATTATTAAAAATATTGTTATTATAATATGATGTAACTAAAAATTTATGTTTTTCGCAATTTTTCCTTTATCTGTGCTATAAAACGTTGCTTCGTGCCAAATTTCAAGGTTCTGAGTTCACGGGAAATACCCTGTAGGTTTTGATTCCCTTGCGAATGTCGAATATTTAAGGCATAAACGGCTGTATCTTTTGATTGCGTTAGCTTAGAAGTTTGATTTTTTCACAGCTCCAAGAGACAGTAGACTTGAGTATTTGATATGAATTTCAGCTTGATACCTCCACGCTTTCCTGAGAATAAGGGTCTTGACAGACAGACAGATAGACAGAGAGACAGACAGACAGTTTTTTCCTTTTGAGATACGGAACCCTAAAAACATCTTAACTTAATAGAATGAAGTATAGCCTATTAGAAAACATTATAAAATGCAGCATACACCAGACAAAAAAGGTACTCCTATGGATCCGATCAAGACAACAAGGGTTTGACTTTGACTATCGATTTTTAAATACTAGTAATGCTATTAAACATTATTAATATTCCTTTAAACCACTTCTGGTAAGCTTAAAATGCTTGCGTTAGAAGTGGTTCACGACAGTAGTCGAATGGCGAATTCAAACCCCACGACTTTTCGAGTTCGCGGTCCACCCCCTGCTATTAGACTACTGGCGCTTTGGATTAATATTCGTGAGAAGAAAAAACATATTGATGACGACACCGACAGTGATTCTTGCACGGCTCGTGAACCCAGAAAACAGAAAACATCTTGTTGCAGTGCAGACATATTTAACAATAATTTAGTCACCTTCCGGGAACAAATGGAAAAGATGAATCTGCTTCTTAACTCGATGAAAAAAGAACAAAATGCGCGCTTCTCACGGATTCTCGCCGATATGTCTGAGATAAAAAACCAAAGGAATTATATTAAAAAAGGTAACGCGGAGATTGAAAATCAGTGGATTATCTTGGAGAAAACTGCGTACCATACACAAACACAAATACAATACAAAAAACCATAAACTCAATTAATAAAGATTATAATAACAGAATTAAAAGTCGAAATGTCTATCTTAATTCAATAATACAATAATATTGAATATAAACAGGAAAGAGAATGCGTACCCAACACAACTAGCTAGAACACCTAAGCTGTATGTTCAAAATGTCACAAATTATTATGGAAAACGTGAAAGGCGATAGATAACACTTGTAATTATTAATCAGCTACCTCATGATTTAATAAAGAATATAGAAAATAAAAACAACTTAAAAATACTATGAGAAAGCATTACTTATCTCTAGGTCCATAATCGTATGCAGTTTAAGAAGTTCCTTTGTTACATTATATTTTTTTTACTTTTTAAGTAGTCAATAAGTTTTGTTTATTGTGTTTTATTTTATTTTTCCTTTTTTGTGTTCTTTATAAAAGTAGTACACAAATATGTGTATCTACGTTTGTATTATGTACTTAGAACTGGAAATAAATAAATTAAAAAAAAGTTAGGATGTTGCTATATCGTTGATACTTGCCTGTTTCAGTTCTCGTTGGTCTAAAGTAAAAGTTAAAGTTATACAGCCTATATACATCCCACTGCTGTACACTGCACAGGTCTCCTTTCATTTCTGAGAGGGTTTTAGGGCAAAGAAGTGTCCGCCGCGCTGTCCCAATGCGAGTTGGCGAACTTCATATGTCTTCGAAATATATATTTTTTTCTTATTTCTCAGACAGCAGGTTTCCTCACGATGTTTTCCTTCACAGCAAAGCACGTGGTAAATCAGCACTTAAAATTGCAATTAACAATTTCATTGGTGCCGGCGGAGATCGAACCCAGGTTGCTCGTGTACTGTGCTAACCATCAGAGCTACCACGGCTCTCTCTCTTTAGTCTAGTGATCGTAAATATGGCTGCTGATCATGAAGTCTCGTGTTCGACTCCCAGCTCGTGCCAAAAAAAACAGTTATTGAGTTTTCATGTAAAGAAATTCTCAGTAGCTGCCCGGAGTGAGTTAGTTGGATGTGTTTCAACCCCATGCCTCAAAAAGCACGTTAAGCCGTTGGTCCTGCGCCTTATCTGCGATTTGTCAACCCCATCAGTGCCCCTGTGGTAGCAGCATCGACTAAATTGGACTACTAGAAATGTATTTTACGATGGTTACCCTTTATGCGCGAGCCCGACTCGCACTTGGCCGGTTATTTTGTAGAGACTTTTGTTCAGTGGTCCTAAATTAATCGTATCCACGACTTGTGTCGCCACTGGCGATAAACGGGCTGGATTTGTTTTTGTCGACCGAAGGCTAAGGAGCCATTCAGAGAGAAAACGCCGCCAGCGCTTTGGCTCTGTTACGTGGGAGTGTGAATATGTATGATATCTAATTAAGTTTTTAGCTTTAGTTTACTTATTATCGTTATAAATATTGTAATTTAATAAAAGAAAAGATAAAATATAAAGTTATAAATTATAAAACATGAATTTAATTTCACAATAAAAAAAACAGTTGTTATATTTTTCATTTTGTGTTTGTTTCAGCATTCATAAATATCGAGCCACATGTTGGTAAGTTTTCTACTTCCTTATGTACCTACCGCAGTGCTACTTTGGAATTCCAGAAAAATTAATTGTTTTTTTTTTTTTAAATGAGTGTGACATTCGAGTACGCAGTATACTTGATAGTAAGTGGATGATGTGGACTCTACACCTATCCTCAATAAAGAATCAAAATTCAGATGCGTTGTTACCCGTGAGGACTAAGATTGAATGTCTCTTTTCCAGTAAAAAGGGTCTCCGGTTCTCTACACTCACCACACGAAACACAGCAGTGTTAAGCTGCTATTTTACGCTGGTATTCTGTGAGAGCGTGGTTCTTCCCCGGTCAAGAGTCATTCGTGTTATAACCATTATTACGGTTATGCTGCAGACATATCTAGATGCAACTTAGCTCTACCACCATGGCATCATCCCTGAGAAAGTTTTGTTTTTGTTAACCAGTGTAAATGAAGGTTATAAGAACTAACAAACCCGAATGAACTAAAAACTTTTGACTTTAACTTTTAATGGAGAATACACTTTCTTAACTATTCTATGTCAGTGTTTGACTACTATTCCACCCGATGGTAAGTGGTGGTGCAACCGAAGATGCTAAAACATACTGATTTAGCCCCCTTTAGTCAATAACTCTCATACACTACGAGTCGGCGTGATAAATTTCCCCGCAAACGGATACAGCGTTCAGTCGAACCCAATTTCAGCTATTTGTTAAGTTTAGCCGACATAAATTACTTTGATTGGCCTCTAATTACTTCTAATTTTGTATTTGTAGTGGAGACCGGCGATCGTATCATGATAAACAGTCGACAGAATAGGTTTAAGAAAATATTGAAAAACACTCCCTACTATTACAAATAGGGATTTGTCCAAAAAGACACAAAATGAACATTCCGCGGGCAGTTGAAATCCAAGAAAACGCACTATGAGAGCTACTCCCAGCTGTGTGCCGTTTTAGTCATATTTTATTATTGTCATTGCAACCTATATAAGTCCTCTGCTAAACTTAGGCCTCCCCATAGATTGCCTCATAGAAGAGGGCGTGAGGGGGGATTTTACCATAGTTGCTACTCATACCGTGTTTTAGTTTTGGTTTCCCTCCGTCGCTTCTTACCACATCCACAGAATGATATGGTATAGTGGTTGTTCTTACACCGCCACTACACAGTTAATTTATATTTTCTTTTTTTAAACCGTTACCTCCATACTACGATTTTCTCCTGTATCATGGAGGCAGTTTACATACATAAATTTCATATGAACAAACATTCAAAAACAAATACTTGTTCCATGCGGGATTAGAACCCGTAACCCTCAGCTCTGCAACTAGGTAATTGCTGAAGCCACTGCGCCGTCATAGTTAATATTTTATAATATCAGAGAGAGAGAGAGAGAAAAGAGCTATAAGTTCACCTGATGGTTAGTGGCTACTGGCAATCTCATAAAAACAAAATTAAGAAAGTTACAAATGAATTGTTAACCTTGAGAGTTAAGATAGAATGTCTCAATGTCTAATGCCTTTATTCTTCAAACTAGAACAGTGCAGAGGACGTGCATTATTTGACGGATAGGCTCCTCAGCAGAAAAGACGTTCGTATAATGTACGTGGTAGACGCTGAAACTATGTTATATTTGTAGGTTGTAGCACGAATGGGTCGGCTCGAACAGAGAATGGTTACGATCTCACAGGATACCAGCGTAAAATGACAGCTTAATGTGTTGTCTGGAAAGGAGCCGATTCATTTTAGTCCTCAAGGGTAACAAGGCGTTCTGCATATTGATACTTAATCGATGATAGATGTCGATGTCGATAGGCTACAGCATCCATTTACCACTGGGTGGATTGTGAGCTCGCTTGTAACCATTATTTTGTTAAAAAAACAATAGAATACAAATAATGCAAATACTCGTATTTACAAATTTGCATTGGAAACAATCAAATAAAACAATTTATAAATAAAAATTATTATGGGTCATTTAGTTTTGATGTATAAAGAACATAAGAAGTTCATCTAAAATTCTACTAAAACCGTGAATTTCTGACACAAACTTATTGTTTTGTCCCAAAACCATTAATCTTTAATTTAACATCGGACCCTTATTTACTAAAACAACTAACCTAAGTATAACAAACATAGAACCGAAGCCCGAAGGTAAGCCTGTGGTTACATCAGTCGGAACACTACATCTATACATATATATATAAAATAATAAACAGACAGACAACCCATTTGACCGGATATCTCGTTGAGAATAAAATGCCAATCATTCGTAAGCACCTTTTATTAATATCGGCGGGTTTTTTTTTTCAGGTCCGTATAGGAGCTTTGATGGCAATGGTGAGTAAATTCGATTGATTAAAAATGTTTATTTGTAAAGAATATTTATAATTGGCAAAAAGATATATATATAAACTTGTGACTTGTGATGGCCTATAATGTTGATGATGATGATGATGATGAATAATGAAATAGTCTTAGATTGTCTTAAATCTAAATAACGGCACATTAATAGATCCAGGCGAAGCCTGGACCTGTCGCCAGAATAACAATATTATTGTAAAAGTTAAAAAATATATATAACCCCGCTGGGTTTCTTGCTGATTTTCCCCAGGAGAGATATATTTTACGAACATGTGGTAAAGGAAATTAAAAATCTAACATTCAATAAGTTTATTTAATATTCTTAATCTATTTTTTTATAGAATAGGGTGACAAACGAGCACACAATCCACCTGATGGTAAGTGGTTGCTGTGGCCCACAGAAATCTACATCTATCCTCGTTTGCGAATCAAAATGTAGATGCGTTGTCACCCGTGAGGACTAAGATGGAATGCCTCTATCTATGGGTTACAATATTCTATTCTATTCCTATCCAGTATTATCAAAGCATATTATTACGACCATAAAACAGGCAATAACATAACCAACTTAAACAAACTCCAGTCTCTTATTGTTATACTGAAGTGAGTCCCCCTTAACGCCTCCGAACGGTCCCCTAAATGCCAGCCGGCTAATTGATCCGGGTTCGATGGCTTCCGTTGAATACCTCTCGATACCGGAAGTGCCCGGCCTGGCTTATCTTTTGTTTCGGCTGTCCTCCGACACGAATATAACCGTATATAACTAGGTCCTAGTTAACAAGATGTCTTGCCATTGTTTACTTTCGTGTATATTTATAAAGGGTATAAGTTACAATATACTGTGGTTTAGGAACATTTTCAGATTTCACATCTTACATGGTGGAGCAATGCTGCAACTATTATTATGATTTTAGCACGAATGTATCGGCTCGACGAAGGTAGGACAACACTATTACAGAATACCAGCGTAAAAAAGCAGCTTAAATATGCTGTTTCGTATAGTGAGTGTAGACAACCGGAAACCTTTTTTACTGAAAACGAGGCATTACATCTTAGTCCTTACGGGTGACAACGCGTATCTAATCTGCATTTTGATTCTTAATCGAGGATAAATATAGATGTCTATGGGCCACAGCATCCACTTACCTCAGATGAGTTATGTGCTTGCTTGTCACTCTTATTCTATTAAAAAAAAACCGTCAATATCAATATAAATTACATATTTTTATAAATTTAAGTTTCATTGCTGAAATTAATTCAATAAAGAGCATAAATAAAAAATAAATAAATAGTCGCAACTTCCTGATAACAACTCAATAATAATAAAAAAAACCACTACGGTTGACATCCCACCTGCTTAGCGTGGCAACTATGGCAAATATCTCCTCTATGAGGCTAACTATGGGGAGGCGTATATTCAACCGTGGTCTTTTGATAGCCTGTGTAATGAATTAATGAATATTGGCATTAATTATATAAATATTAATTTATACATATCATTTTTACTTCATAAAAACTGTTCCCATAAACATATTTTTGAGTATATTTTTTGTATTGTTATTTTGTGTATTTATATGAGGACTAAGATAGGATGTCTCGTTTCCAGTAAAAACGGTCTCCGGTTCTCTACACTCACTACAGGAAACACAGCAGCATTACGCTGCTATTTCATTCTGTGAGAGTGTGGTCCTTCCCCGGTTGAGCCGATTCATTCGTGCTAAATCCATTTTATAGCTGCAGCGTGACTATTAATTAAAAAAGAAAATTACTGCACATAATTAAGGTTAACTGGTAGAGAATTCATAATGCATTAAGTCCGTAAACGAAGTTTTATAAATAAATTAGTATTTATTTACAAACTGACAAGAAAACTGTGTATTAAAAATAATATTATATAAGCTTTTTCTTAAATGCAATGACTGAAGAAAGAGTTAAAAGTCAAGCGTTTGCCTGCTGTATACCCTAGATCAGTCAATTTTTACCATCCGTCAAGTGTCATATCTCTCTACAAGATGCAGGACTGTACAAGCTGGATTGTGAATGTGGTATCTCTTACATAGGACAAGGAAAAAGATCTATAAAAACCCGCCTGAAAGAACATATAGCTGACTTGAAGCACCGACGTTCCGGGAAGTTTGCAGTCTGTGAACGTGTTCAAGATCGTTCCCGCCATTATATTAGATTTGATAGACCACAAATCCTCGCATAAGAACACCGATTCCTCCCAAAGATGATTCGCGAGGCTATTGAAATTAAACAACATCCTAATTTCAATAGAGAAGATGGATGGATGCTGCCATCTGCTTGGGATACTATAATTAATAAAATTAAATCCAAACCCAAGTATACCCGTGCAAGACTTCAAGATACTGTAAGCTAATTCTGCGTAGATCGGACTAAAAATTAATATTTAAAAAACTGAATGTAGCTGCGCTAACTATGATATCGGGACGTTAAATACCTCAGTCCCCCATGTGACCACGGGTGCTGTAAAGCACCCGAAACGTCGGAAATTAAAAAGTTAAATTAAACGCGATAAAATCCGTAAAAATTAGTTACATTTAAGAATTAAAAAGTTAAGAAACTTTAATATTTAATATTTTTAAAACTTTCCATAAGTATATTAATTACACCAGTGAAATAATAAAAAAAAACTCTGCTATAGTTTTCACAGAGATTAGATTTTTTTTGTACAGAGAACGTCCCTTTTTTGAATTCGTTTAAAAAAACGATCAAGATACTGTAAAACATCGGCTGCCTTCTCTCTTTACTCATGTGGTCTTGCTATCCCTTCTATTTCTTTTATCATTTATAAGCACTCTTATGTGCCCTTTGCTAGCGACGAGGATCGTTTTTATTATCTCACCTGTGGCGCTTCCGAAGTCGTAGCTTTGACGTTGTACAAAGGAGCTATATATATTGATATATTTCACGCGTTTTGTTTAAATTAAAAAGTTTCCTAATTTAAAGCATAGCACCGCAAAACTCATACGGCCAGCTGTGAAGGACCACGTTTCAGTTCCATAGGTCATCACTGGCAACACGCACTGGTTGAACAGTCTCGGTAACGGCGGATGAAGTGTAAGGCGTCCCTCCAATAGATGGAGTGAGGAACTGGTAAGACATGCAGGAAGTCGATGGATGCAGGTGGCACAGGAAAGTGCTTTGTGGCATTCCTTGGTGGAGGCCTATGGTCAGCAGTGGACTTGTGAAGGGCTGTAGTGATAATGATGATGACTGCAAAACTTCTAGATCATTATACTATGTAAAGCGTACCGAAATTAGTTATTAAGGTGGCACAAGTCGCGGGCTCGAACTCGCTGGTGGGCGCGGCCAAAAAGCACGCTGTCTCACCTGGCATCGTGCCCGACAGAGATAGTATCAGTGATGAGCATATCGACACTAGTATTCACGCACGTCTTGTTCGTACGGCATTCAGAACCGTTTGAACAAAAACGAAGTTACACGAACACGATGCAACATTTATACTAATATAATAAAGCAGAAAATATAGATCTTTACTCCGTCTAAAAAAAAGTCCGCGATACCATATGTCTATTTTTTATATACTCGTATAAGCCACAATTAGGCATTTTTATTTTGACAAAAAAAAATGAAAATTTAATTATTAGGCATGGCATATTTATCCTTACGAACGAAAGTTACTTCATTATCAAGACAATTTTTTGAAGATAAACTTCGTTGTTTATGCCATGTTTATATAGTACATAGTTGAGATAATGTAAAATTAAAATAATTCAATACTTGGCCTTGACGCGCAAACAACGCATAACCCCTAGCCCGGTGCGAACTGAGAAGCCAGTATTGAAAGCTTCTATGAGCGAGGTTAGGTTAGCCGTTAGTTCAATCATTATCTATATCTACACAAATAAATAAAATTGAAGTGTCTGTTATAATGTCAAAATAACAGCTTTTTACTAATTGCATATGAAATTATATACGCTACTTATAACACAATTTTTAACATTTTTCTGTCTGTCTGTCTGTTTGTTCCGGTTAATTTCCAAAACGGCTGGACCGATTTTGACGGGACTTTCACTAGTAGATAGCTCATGTTATAAGTAGTAACTTAGAATGCTTAAATTTTAGAAAAATTATTAGGCGTCCGTGCAACAAAATTAACACCCTAAACTAAATGCGGACGAAGTCGCGGGGAACAGCTGGTAGCTAAAATAAATTCAAAATTAATTGAGTGCTTTTATCTATCTCCCAGGTGAGCGTAACAATGATTAGTTAATTCTGAACTCTTTCATTTCACGTTGCTATGGTATTTTGAAAGTTTAATTGATTAATAAGTTTTTATTTTATTTATTTCTTTAAAAAAAAAGACGTTACCCCCACACTAGGATTTTCTCGTGTATCGTGGAGGCAGTTTACAAACACAAATTGCACAAGGACAAACATCCAGACCCGGAACAATTATTTGTAGGCCATACAAATACAAATACTTGATCCGTGCGGGATTCGAACCCGCGGCCCCCTGCTCAGCAACTCATTGCTAAGACACTGCGCCACGGAGCCGTATAAGAGTATAAGAGGTTGATAGCAAATGTATCAAGAATCATTTCTTGCCTACACACTTTTCATGTATCGTGTACGTTTTTCTTTAAAACTGAATAAAACCGCGCATAGTATGCCGACAGATAAAATAAAAGTACTTCATTAATTATCACAATTTTTCCATACATTATTATCAAATAAAATATTTGATTGCAATTATAAAACTAGGTGTCATGTCATGCCATGCATCTCGGACACATGATGACGCGGGTGAAACCGCGAAATGATTAGGCGCTGCTTTATCGCTTCATATTATACCTCTGTGGCTCTATATACCTAATATAGATTGCTTATTTTATTATGTTTAGTTTTTCCGAGTGGTTATGCAGCGATCACTCAAGAGTTCGGCTTCGAACGTGTGTAACTGCAAAAATTATCCCACGGGAACGAAATATTTTATATTACTGGGAGCCGCGGGTTCGAATCCCGCACGGAACAAGTATTTGTATGGCCTACAAATAATTCTTCCGGGTCTGGATGTTTGTCCTTGTGCAATTTATGTTTGTAAACTGCCTCCACGATACAGGAGAAACTCCTAGTGTGGGTGTAACGTTTTTTAAATAAGAAAAAAAAAATTTGTATGGCCTACAAATAGTTGTTCCGGGTCTGGATGTTTGTAAACTGCTTCCACTATACAGGAGAAAATGCTAGTGCGGGGGTAATGTATTTTTAAAAAATAAAAAAAAATAAAATTCCAGACTATAACCTATCTCTGAGCAAAATATCATCCAGGTCCCTTCAGCGGTTCTGGCGTGATTGAATAACATACATCCTTTCATTCGTCCATCCAAATATCCAAACTTTCGCATTTATAATATTTAGATAATAATTGTAATTAGTTCTGCTTACCTATAAATTTTTTTCAAAAATACTTACCTGTCTTCTTACTTTTTTTTATATATACTCAATATCACTAAACGTAAACACAGGTTTTTATCAAGACAAGTGACCCATCAAGATTGTTTTCTTAGTACTGACGTACCTACCTAAAGTTTACAATTTTGTGGCCACGACGCGGTGACGTTTTGTGACATTTTGTTGTATTGTAGGTTGTAGGTATCTAGGTAATAACAGTAGGTACCTATGAAAATCCCACATAATATACCTTGTTTGTCCGCCGCAAGAGTCGTCTAATAAATAATTAAACTGTTTTGTAATTCTTTATTTATTTATAACACTTGCATTGAGAGCCGTGGTAGCTCAGATGGTTATCGTTCGCCGTAAGTATCACACTACGCGAGCAACCCGGGTTCGATCCCCGTCGGCACCAAAGAAATTGTTGCAATTTTATATAGTAATCGTATATTATAGACTTAATTTTTTTTCTTTTATAATTATATTATATTACAGACGAAAATTGAAATAAAAAACAAAATTGTCTGTCGTCCAAAACGCATCATCTCTTTCAATTATATCAATTTCCATGCTGTCTTTTGTCTTTGGCGTCCAAATTACAAAATAGCAAAACTTTTCGTTTCGAATAAAACTCGAATAAGCCCGCGTCACCGCCCGTGCATGTGTGTGTAAGCGTCGTCCTCCCGCACCGCACCGGGGCAAACATTATTCAGTGAGATGCACGATAATTCATAGTAACATACGCGCGTAAAAAAATACGAAAAGGCCTTTGGAAGAAGGGGTTTTATGAAAAAAACCACTGCATAAATTAATTACGAATAAAATTTCTTGAATTCTTCGATAATTGAGCTGTGTCGGTACCGACTTTGTTTTGGAAATTTCACACTTCTTTTATTACTAATTTACGCCCAAAGTTGTGTTAAAATTGGCAATAAAAACGAATCTTTGGTAGCTCGTAACTTTTTAATAACATTTTATTTTACTATTCTGTTTCCGTACAGACAAATTTGATAATGAGACAAAACGATATCATGTTTAACTTTGGATGTACACTGTCAAACAGCGTAGTAAAACCCCTCCGAAATTTGTATGGAAATCAATGGAAATATTGTCGACTAGTGTCACCTTAAAATGCTGAAAGCAGTCTAGATTTAAAATAAGATCATGAAAAATAAGATTAAACAGTGACGTAACATGAGTCGAAAATGCGTCCTTCTTATTTACGAAGTATCTTGAAAAATATGCAATCGCTAAAAGTCTTCTATAGACTATGTAGGTTTATTATTTGTGTATGAGTGCATATGTGCGTGTGAGCGAGCGTGCTTTCGAGCATGCGCGTGTGTGAGTGTGCATACGTTAGTGCATGAGTGCATGCGTAAGAGCGTGCGCGTGCGTGTGTGATTAATATAAAACATAATCTTACAGTAGAAGACATAACTAAAAAATTGTTTCAGCAACAATCAAAGCAACCTTCCCTTACGAGCTACGAAAGAGAAAGGGCGACATGTACCTGCTCCTGAAGGAGGAAGATCTGGACGTGATATTGGATATACCAGACTTGAGACCGCCTGTGAGGAGCATTGAATCTGAAGGTAACTTCAACGTCGAGGTGATTAAAGTCTCTAAAGCAATCGTCAATTGGATATTAATCCACTACCCCATATTATCCCGATGCTCATAATTGCCTTGTTTGGCATCTATGACGAGCATGGGGCTCGTTTGCCCCTACCTGATGGTAAGTTTCGACCGCCACCCATGAACTGCAACACCAGGGGAATGCAGGTGCGTTGCCCGCCATTTAAAAAGGGCTAAGCTCGTTTCTTGAAGTTTGCTAAGCCATATCGGTCCGGTAAAATGACCAGTGATAAACGATTCCACAAAGAAGTCGTTCTAGGAACAAAACTCCTAGTAAATCGCACTTTGGTGGACATTTTTATTAAGTATTTTTTATACTTATTATTATTACACTTATATTATTATCGTATATTAGTAGCATAAGGTAATATATTACGCCATTTTCGTCGTAGGTGTCATGTCGACAGCTTGCAGTATGCATTACATTTGCGCCAAAAGTATTATATATTGCTATAAAATTGACAGTTAGCAGCGTCTAAAGTATTCATTGCGTACCGTTAACCTATATTGGTCGTGCAGGGTTCGGTCCAATGGACCTCATGCAACTTCGTTTGTCATATTTTGGCAAATATTAAACGAACGTGACTGTTCGTTCCAGAAGCTTCCTAGTTCGCGCGTAACAAGCATACTTAGGAAAATGGAGATTCACAAATATGTGTACTGCACATACTTTTTATTTTTTTATTTTTATAGAATAAGGGTGACAAACGAGCACACAGTCCACCTGATGGCAAGTGATTGTTGTGGCCCATTGACATCTACGTCTATCCTCGATTACGAATCTAAATGCAGATGCGTTTTCACCCGTCGGGACTGAGATAGAATGCCCCGTTTCCAGTAAAAAGTGTCTTCGATTCTCTACACTCACCATACGAAATACAGCAGCGTTAAACTGCTATTTTACGCTGGTATACTGTGAGAACGTGGTCCTTTCCCGGTCGAGCCGACCCATTCGTGCTACAACTATACCAGTAATGTAGCTGCAAAATGGCTCTACCACGAAAAAAAGTGTTACTTATGGAGTATCTTCATCTTACAATACGCTTTACACCCTTACCGGTACCGTTACAGCCTATTAAAGTCCTCCGCTGAACATAGGTCCTCCATAAACCGCCCTGTAGTTGGGATATTTGCCATAGTTGCAACGGTTGGCATGCGGGTTGGCAAGCGCAGTTTTTATCTTTGTCGTTATTAGGATGACGCTGCTGCCCTTCTCCTGATTTGTTTCTCTCTGTCACATCCTACGACACCCACGGGATAACATGTGGTAGTGGATTTGCTTACACCTGCACTGCAAGGTAAAGTGTAATACAATTTTATGGTAAATGCAAAAAAAATTATGTGTAATGAAGATCATTCTAAAGTTTGTGATCCATTGATCAATTTATATAATAATAATTGATCAATTTTTTTAAATAATGATGGTAATAACGGTGGTAGAGCCACGCAGCAGCTTTTGCTGTTGCACGTATGGGCCGGCTCGAGCTGGGTTAATACCACGACCTCACAGAATACCGGCGTGAAGTGGAAGCTCTGCTTCCCGTTTCATCTGGTGAATGCAGGTGACCGGAGGCCCATTTCCCCCCCTCCTCCATCAACCTGGTAGCGGAATTACATCATAAACTACCCCAGGAGGGTACCAGTACCACTCACGCTCCCCTCGCGGTTGCGTTCTGCAGGTAGCCGCCATGTTTGGCATTACAGGTCGGCGTATTGGGACGGAATGCGGTCTTTCTTTGCTTCCTACCCAAGGGGGCGGGTTTGCTTCTCGCCGGATGATCCCAGCGTTGTTGCTGACTCTGTCACTGATGTGGTGCTACAGGGAATGGAACTATTTATTCCATCATCTGTGGTACCCATCAGAGGCAGATCTCAGCCTTGGTTTGGTCGCTCCTGTAAGACTGCATTACGCAGTAAGCAGGAGTGTTATCAAGCCTGGGCTGCGGCTTCGGCGACTCGAGATGTAAACACCAGCATACTTAAAAAGAAGTATAACTTCGCCTCCAGGTCCTTCAAAAGAGTTATTGCCAAGGCAAAGTCAGAGCACATAGGCAGAATTAGCGAGAAACTAGTTCGCCTTCCTTCGGGAACCCGTGCATTCTGGTCTCTGGCCAAGGCTGTCCAAGGGAATTTCTGTAAGCCATCACTACCATCTCTGCACAGGGAGGACGACTCACTGGCCCACGACGGAAAAGAGAAAGCCGACCTTTTAGGCTCCCTTTTTACGTCCAACTCGACTGTTGATAACGGGGGGAACACACCGCCGACCATCCCGCGGTGTGAGTGCTCCATGCCGGATGTGCAGTTTACACAGCGCTCGGTTCGCAGAGAACTCCTCTCCCTTGACATCCACAAGTCGAGTGGGCCTGACGGAATCCCCCCAATTGCGCTGAGGACGTGTGCTCCGGAGTTGGCACCGGTTCTAACGCGTCTTATCCGGTACTCCTACTCCCTAGGCGTAGTCCCGAAATCATGGAAGACAGCTTTTGTCCACCCGATCCCTAAAAAAAGGCGAACGCTCAGACCCGTCCAACTACAGGCCTATCGCCATCACCCCTTGTTCTCCAAAATAATGGAATGCGTTATAAACTGCCACCTCATGCGGTACCTTGAGGATCACCAGTTGATTAGTGACAGCCAGTACGGTTTTCGTCGGGGTCGATCAGCTGGTGATCTTCTGGTCTGCTTAACTCATAGATGGGCGGAGGCAGTAGAGTCCAAGGGGGAGGCATTGGCCGTTAGTTTGGACATTGCGAAGGCCTTCGATCGGGTTTGACACAAAGCGCTTCTTTCGAAGCTCCCTTCCTATGGGCTTCCCGAGAAATTATGCAATTGGATCACCAGCGTTTTTGCAGATCGGAGCATCAAGGTCGTTGTAGACGGTGCATGCTCCGACTACAAGCCTATTAACGCTGGTGTTCCACAAGGCTGCGTGCTATCACCAGCGCTGTTTCTTCTGCATATCAATGATATGTTGCAAGCCAAGGTGATGCTCTATACACCGGCCGTGCCATTTTTTTTGTCGTTTGTCACAAACAAACTTGTGTCTGAAGTCGAGTCTTTGCTGGACAAAGTCTCGGATAGAGGGCGACTAAATCTAGTCCAGTTTAATCTTCAGAAGACACAAGTTTGCGCGTTTACCGCTAAAAAGAACCCCTTTGTCGTATCTCCTCAGTTTCAAGGTACTCCCCTTGTTGCCTCAGCCAGTATCGGAATCCTCGGCGTCGACATATCGAGTGACGTGCAGTTTCGTGGTCACTTGGAAGAGAAGGCCAAATTGGCCTCTAAAAAGCTTGGCGTGCTCAGCAGAGCGGGACAGTATTTCATGCCGGCTCAACGCCTGCAACTTTACAAGGCGCAGGTTCGGTCTCACATGGAATACTGTTCCCATCTCTGGGTTGGGGCTCTCCAGTGCCAGCTCCTTCCACTTGACCGCATCCAGCGCAGAGCGGCTCGAATCGTCGACGACCGAGTCCTTTCCGATCGGCTCGACTCATTGGCACTGCGAAGAGAAGTTGCATCTCTTTGCATTTTCTTTCGCATTTACCACGGGGAGTGCTCTGAGGAATTGTTCGGATTAATCCCAGCCGCCAAATTTCACGATGGCACATCGCGGCCGAAGTCCCGATACCATCCACACCATCTGTATGATTGGCGGTCCACTACTGTGCGATTTAGAAGATGTTTTCTTCCTCGCACAACTTCCTTGTGGAATAGTTTACCACCAGCAATTTTTGCGGACCGATACGACTTAGGGACCTTCAAGAAAAGAGCCTACTCCTTTTTAAAAGGCCGGCAACGCATCTGCAATTCCCTGGTGTTGCGGTTGTTCATGGGCGGCGGTAGTCACCATCACGTAGGCACTATCAGGTGCGCCGCATGCTCGTTTGCCCCGTCTCCTATAAAAAAAAGGTACGTGAGGGTAATACGGTCACCTTAAGCTTTGCCGCCCTGTTAAACCAAAACTAGGAGAAGTACAGAGATAAAAACACAAAGTCGTATACCATAACTAATGTACGTATTAAGAAAAAATAGCAAATAAGCGTTGGCAATCATTGGGAGCACTTCGAAAAATCAACTTAAAAAAATTAACTACACTACAATACTAAAATCGACTAAAATATTTACTACTAGCTGTTCCCCGCAACTTCGCCCGCGTGTTATTTGGGGGTTTTAAATTTTTGCGCGGAACCCTAATTCTTTTTCTAAAATAAAAGTAGCCTAAGTTACTCCTTGTGACATCAGCTATCTGCCAGTGAAAATCCTGCCATAATCGGTCCAGCCGTTTCGGAGATTAGCCGGAACAAACAGACAGAAAGACAGACAGACAAAAACTTTAAAAATTGTATTTTTGTTATTAGTACCGCATATACTTTCATGTGCATTTACTAAAAAGCTGTAAATTTGAAATTACAAACAGACACTCTAATTTTATTTATTTGTATATAAATAGATAATCTAAACTGTCAAAATGGCGTCGATAAAGCATTTACCTTTTGACCCTTTATTATTTGATTGGCTAATGAAGAGCTATCGTATCACAGACCCATCTATGCAAACAAGGCCGTAGTTTTTGAGTTATATGAAAGTGACCATATTAACCGGATGACCATATTACCAACACGTACTATATTTAAAATCTTATATTTTGTTGTTTTATAGAAATCGAAAATCTTTCCTTTTATTGTATTTGTTTCTTTTTAAGAAGAAAGCCCTGGTGTTTACACGATCCCCAAACGACTAGATACAGGTTGGCTACAGGTTAATAATAAACCTAGCAAGCTAACAGCATAGCAAAGTGGCGAAGCAATCAGCTTTGTAGCGGTTTCTAACGGTTGCCGTTGAGCAATCAGTTTTAAAATAGGAGGTTCAGATGCCTGGGTGATCAGTAATCGATTGCTGAAAACAGAATTTGAAAATTCAAAACCGTTCTCGAGATAATTGTGGGACAGACGGACAGACGGACAGACATCGTGAAATCAATAAGTGATTTCGCAAGCTTCGCCACTTAATAATCAGGCACTTCCCAGTCAACAGGCTAACGAGAGGGAATATAAAAAGGTTTTTATATTATTATGTCAATTTAAATTTATAGGACACAACTTGGAGATATCAGAGTGGGCGTACGAGGTGGTGGAGCATATTGACGCGGCGAAGTACTTCGCTCTCCCCTACACAACCAACATACGCCAGTTCACGTCCACTGTACCACTGCACAAGTATGTATGCCTACACTGTGATAATGTGCAAAATTTGTGCCTGGTTTAATTCCCAGGTCGAAAGTTTTCGTGCTCGTCATTAATGTTCTCAATATGTTTAACTTTAATAGAATCAGGCGTTACTTTGCGGAAATCCATTATATAAAGTTAGTAAAAATTACCTCGCGTAAATCCGCTCGATAAAATAAAATGATGTGTCTTACCTAGTTTGAAGAGCACCTCCCGCCCTCCCTCAATCGCGTACACTATCCCCGTCACCACTAATCCCAGCACCACTACTCCCAACACCTAATTTTAATGTTTCACTTTGTCTACCTTTTTATAAAACCGAAGTGAAAAACAAACCTACAGTCAACCTGTTGATTAGTGGCTATACGACTGCCTCATTGGTGTAGTGGTCGTAAACGCAGTGAGCAGCAGCGATCCTGGTTTCGAATCCTAGGTCGGGCCAAAAGCAGTTATTGGGTTTTTATGTCAAGAACTAATTCTCGGTAGCAACCCGGAGTCAGTAAGTACTGTGCCTTGCAAAGCACGTAAATCTGTGTTTTGTGCGCCTGATCTCTCTCCGGTCGTGTCGGGTTACCGTCCCAACGGACTATTAGAGCGAGGGAATAGAGAGTGTACCTGTGCTTGCACATACACTCGAGTACTATAATCCTGTCCTGCTCAGATGGTTAGTCGTGGTTGAGACTAGCTGCCGTGACCGAAACTCGTTCTAAAGGACGTTATTACGAGGGCGACACTGAAAGTTTTTAGAACTGGCCACTTTGTAAACGATACAATGAAAAAATAAGTTCAAATTTTGAAAATGGAACTCTTTGCCAATATTTTTGTGTATGTACCGTAAAATGGGGTGAATAGAAACCGCGGGGTGAATAGACACAAGTCTGGTTATTTGGTAAAGTTGTCTCTAGGTTTGTCTACAGCTCGGAAACGTCTGTTTATTACTACTGTTTTGTTAATTTGTGTCAATTTTGATGACAGTAAAGAAAAGGGCGGTTATTATAAACGTGTGAGTACAAGTGGTTTTATGGTGTGTAAAACTTTTAGTTAAACATCACGTTCTTCAGTGTTTCCTTGTTGCAAATTTTTTTTAGGGAATTGAGTTTCTCATCTATTATTAATACAAATATGAATCGATATTGAACGATTTTATTCTTTTAAATAGTAAAATCAGGATACTGGTACTTTTTCTCGAGTTCGAGATGAATAGATACGACTGAGGGTTGAATAAAAACGTCTTTGGGGTTAATAGAAACGAAGAAAGGGGTGAATAGATACGAATGATTAGAAACGTAAAAGGGGTTAATAGAAACATGATTTTTAGGGTTGTCAAAAACTATTTGCGCCATTTACTTACTACATAAATTAATTTAAGTAGCTAATTGAAACTAAAATTTAAAACAAAAGTTTAAACCATATTAAAGGTATTAAAAGTCTTCTATTATAAATGTTAAATTTTGTTATTTGTTATACATTAAAATTCCAAATATTTGAGGTTTTACCATTACACCTGATAGAAGTTCCTGCAGTAAATATACTTAGTGTGCTCATATGATTTAGTGAGATTTATAGAATCAAAGCAATTTGGTTCTCTTTCTAATAGTCTCAAAATAGATTGATATAAAAAAAAAAATATTAAGTAAAGCAAGAGAATAAGTTAAGCTTAAGCAATACTCTAAAACTATAACTGCACCAAAACTATCCGATGTAGAATTGTATCTCGTTCCATTTTAAATTCTATTAAGGCGTTTTGAATATTTTAAACACGGGGCCGTGGGTAAATAACGCAACAGGTGTGCAAATGTCACACAAAAGTATTCTAGATCGAAGTACCGATCGATTGTATTTAGGATTTAAATGAATTGAACCAAGGTTAATATAGCAAAGTAACCCATAAATATTCTATAAGTAGGTAGTAAGTTCTTTGAATGGTCACACTGTTACTTGATCCTGTTACTTTTGAAAGGGTATTTAGCACTTCAAGCTGTCATATACGTGGTAGAACTGTGGTGCAGTTATGTATATATACAACTGCAGCACGAATTTGTCGGTTCGTCGGGGCTTGGCAGCTTAATGCTGAGTTTTATAATATGGTGAGTATACGGCATCGGAGACTCTTATTACTGGCTAAAGCGCATTCTAATCTAACTAAGTCCTCAAGGCTGACAAAGAATCTACATTTTGATTCTTAGTCGAAGATAGGAGTAGGTGTCTATGGATCCACTGACTATCAGGTGGACTGTGTGTTTGTGTTCATTTGTCATTCTTATTCTAAAAAAATAAATGGTGGGTTCTCTTACGCGACCACCAGACATCAATTTTCTTTTAACTAAAGCAAAGATGACGGCAATTTTAACCGATTTAAAAGAAAGAGAAGGTCCTCACTTTGATTGTTTATATGAATGCTACGCGGTGATTGCGAACCGATTTTAATGTTTCTTCTTTTATTAAATAGGTTATACTTCGAGGGTGGTCCCGTATAAATTTGGAGAAAAGCTTTCACCATTAATAGTGGAAAATAGGGGATGAAGTTATTAATATATAAGACGACATTCTAGCTGTTACCTTGACTTTGAGTTATTCCTTAGGTAAAAAAGTTTACGTGGTAGAGCCATGCTGCAGCTATATTAGTATAGTTATAGCACGAATGGGTCGGCTCGACCGGGGAAGGACCATGCTCTCACAGAATACCAGCGTCAAATAGCAGTTTAACACTGCTGTGTTTCGTATGGTGAGTGTAGAGAACCGGAGACCCTTTTTACTGGAAACTAGGCATTCCATCTTAGCACTCAAGGATGACAACGCATCTGCATTTTGATACTCAACCGAGGAGATTGTTTTATTCTTTCTTTCTAAGGGTAAAAAACGTTACACCCACACTAGGATTTTCTTCTGTATCGTGGAGGCAGCGTATAAACACAAATTGCACAAGGGCAAACATCCAGACCCGGAACAATTACTTGTAGGACATACAATACTTGTTCCGTGCGGGATTCGAATCCGCGGCCCCCACACCAACTCATTGCTAAGGCTGCGCCACGGAGCCGTCAATGGTATCATGTCAATGTATATGTCTATGGGCCACAATATCCACTTACTATCAAGTGGACTGTGTGCTCGTTTGACAGGCTTATCCTATAAAAAAAGTTTTAGCACTAACTTCACAAGCTATTATGGAAAAATCATTTTATTCTTTTTTTTTATAGGATAAGGTGACAAACGAGCACACAGTCCACCTGATGGTAAGTGGTTGTTGTGTGCCATAGACATCTACATCTATCTTCGATTACGAATCAAAATGCAGATGCGTTTTCACCCGTGAGGACTAAGATGAAATGCCTCGTTTCCAGTAAAATGGGTCTCCGGTTCTCTACACTCACCATAATATGAAACATAGCAGCGTTAAGCTGCTATTTTACGCTGGTACATATTCTGTGAGGGCGTGGTCCTTGCCCGATCAAGCCGACCCATTCGTGCTACAACCGTAAACATGGCTCTACCACGTAAAACCTTTTTATTTCTTTAAACGGCTTTTCCTTTTTATTGAAAGCTTAATTTTAAACAAGTGTGTACATCATACAACGCCAACAACAAAAATACTGTTTCATGATCCAGAAACAAAGGTTTTGTGTGTAAATAAATTACACAAGCGACTCACTTTTTGTTTTTGGATGCCGCACTTGAAAAACACACCTGGCTAAGGGGTATTTCTTTGCACGCATTGGAGACATTCTCAACGTTATCAGTAATGTTATAAAGTCGCATTTCGCTCACATTTTTATTTTAATACTTCTACGTTTATTTTCGTAAATTTCGCACCGAGTGAAGTTAAAACGTGCAGGATATAGAACGCTGTAGCGAGCATGTATGACCCAACATTTCTCATTTAGACTAAGATTAGGGCCTCCAAGCGATAGGGACTTCGATGGACAGCAAATTATTCATATATATACGTGGAAGTGTATTTTTTCAACCGACTTCGAAAAGGAGGAGAGGTTTAAAATACGTCGGAATCGTTTTTTTTTATGTATGTACACCGATTACTCGAAGACGTCTGAACCGATTTAGGATTTTTTTGACGTGACAACGTCTTTTAATTCGATGAATCTGGCTGCACGCACGAAAAAACATGACACATGCGGCGTTACCTCGCTCTGAGGCGTTCCATTTAAGGCTTGAAGTGCAAGCGAGAGCGTGGACGAGCGACAAAGAGGCACAATCGGCGTTGTCACGTTCAACTATCGTCAGTAAACCGATTTTACAGACAACCGATTTTTTATATAGAATAAAAGTGACAAACGAACACACAGTCCAGCGGATAGTAAGTGGATACTGTGGCTCATAGTTATCTACATTTAGCCTAGATTAAGAATTAAAATGCAGATGCGTCGTCACCCGTGAGGACTGAGGTGGAATGTCTGGTTTCCAATAATAAGGGCCTCCGGTTAACTACACTCACCATACGAAACACAGCAGCATTAAGTTGCTATTTTACGCTGGTATATTGTGAGAGCTTGGTCCCGCTACCCCGGGGTAGGACCACGCTGAAGCATTCGTTCGTTTTGAGAATTTGTGAAGTTCACCGACTGACACAGAGACAGCGCGGTGGTCCCAAGTGGTCCCATTCAAATTTTATCGAAATCAGTCGAGTGGTTTTAAAAAAATCATCATTATCATTTTCATCATTACAGCCCTTGGGTAAGGTTTAGAATCAAGTCGCCTGAATTTTGGGATAGGGGGTAGTAGGGGGGGGGGAAGGAAGTTGTAGAGTCACCCCCCACTTCCATTTCCTGCCGGACGTGCTTAGTTTTTTTTATAAATTTTTAAAAATCTCATTTTGAGGTTATGTTTTCGTAATGTTTTTGACAATATAAATCTGATTTGTGGGGGCAGAGATTTGAAGGAGGGTAGCCCAACGCCACTCAACGTGGCGTAATGAAAGGAAACTCGGTCGACAAAGCCCCGCTTAGCGGAGCTCCTATTTCTGGATGGATTAT